TGTCATAAATTTACGTCTACCATATGAGCCACTGGCGACTATGACGGTGGCCTGGTGATAATGTGCCGAACATGAGTGCTGTACTATCACAATCCGGTTCGAGTCCCATTAGGAGGGGGTTGAGACCCAGGCAAGGCAAAAACTTATATCGACTCTTAACCTTGTTAACTTTTTGGGAGCAAGGCTAAGTGAAGCTTATTGGTGTCTCTAGACCTGCTCATCTAACTGGGAAAATTCAACTATCTCTTCTCCATCACCCATTACGAATTTTCCTTCAATAAAATTACATAACATGCATACATTGCGACCACACAAAAGGCCACACCATCTTTGTCTTCATACCTTCGCTATAAATTACATAATGTTACCAAATTTGGGATGCTATTACGAAACCTCATATAGTTTTGAAGCCTACCCGGTTCTTATAAAAAATAATACTAGTGTGGATGTCTGTAGTGTGTTCGTGTGTTAAAGGGAGTTTCTGAGGCCGGTGACGTTAGGTTGAATAGCCAAATCAGAATCACATTCATTTCAATGTCCATTTAATTGTGACTGCTGCACACTCAGTAGGAATGCACAATTGAATGCTACTTGGGGCGACTAAAACAATTTCTTGTTAAATGAAGAGATTCACCGTGAAAACTTGTCGATTGGCCTTACCGGAACATTTTATTTATGCTGTTTCCGAGGCAATCTCCTTCGATTCTGGTGAATGTGTTAAGCTTTCGTTTGTAATATGACGACCATCATCCTTGCAACCATATTCAGGAATGATAACCTGCACATTTTCATCTGAACTGAACGAGGTTGCCTCGGAAACAGTGTCAACAAGAATGTTTCCGTAAAGCCAATTTAATGCTGGTTGGATCCAACTTCGAATCTCTTCACCAAATACTTTCGATTGAAATGGAAGTGAATTCAACGATTATAAATCAGGGGATTCGTAACTTTTTTCACATAAAGCTTTTTTTCCCAACTAGAATAGAGCTGACCTACACTTTCCATCTATTCTAATCGATTCATCCACACTCTGACAAATTCTGACGCCATACTTTGGTGTTATGATGTCAACAGTTTTAATGAAAAAGTATGATTTTTATTCAACTTGCATCTTCTGAAGAGAGAAGAGAGAGAGGGTGCAATGAGTACGACTTAATAGTTTCCCTTGATCCGAACCCCGCCAAAATGGTTAAAGGAATTTGAAGCCAAAACCGCGAGGCAGAGGCTGGGTTCAAGCGAAAAAAAATCTCGTCAAAGTGAGTAATTGCAAGAAATTCATTGAATTTGCAGGAAAGCAAACGTATCCAAGCTGTAGTGCTTTTCAGTGTTTCGAACCGGTCCCGCATTCGAGTCCTTCCAGCGTGACAGGGAATGCTGGCGTCAGACAAAAAGGCCGTGCCCTCGGAGGACAGCATCATCCGAAGGTCCTCTCGGAGACAGATTGCGCAATTTCGACGACCCAATGACCAAAATGGCTTTGCGTTTAGTCAACGCGGTCGCAAGCTTGTCGTGTCGGCCGATTGGCGACAAGCAAGTCGTCACTTTTGCTGGTATGGGCCCACCCGTGATGCTAATTTGTACTCCCACTCCTCACCTTTTGTCCCACCGCCTGTCTGTATCGGTACAGTACGACTTGCTGAGCACGAAGAAGACGAGCAGAAGAGAGACCGACGGTGTGATCGGTACTTTTCAGGCTGTAAAGAGAACATACTATTTGCCAACGCTTCGAGTTGACGTACCGGGACCCGGAGTCTGGGCCGGACTGATCTGAGCTGGAGGAATGAGGCTCTCAAGTGCGGCTAGACTGCGTGAGCAAAAGACGATTTCCTGCCGTACCGGGCGGTTGGCATGATTGTGTCAAATGTAAATTAGCATATGGTCTTGTTTGGCTTGGGGCTAGGGAGAAATGGCCTGCTTATCCTCTTCTGCATACACGCCTTATTTGTCGAAATCCGCCGCCCTTTCGCAGTCAAGGTGACTGAGAATGGCCGGTTTTTGTGTTTCAGCCACGAAGACAAATGAATGCCCAATGGTACGGATGTATGCCTGTGCTTGTGTGTATTTGTGGGTGGGTGGGTGGAAGGGTTGATGAGGGGGGGGGGAGAAGGAAACTCGAGGTGTGGCAGATGAAGGGATGAAGGAGAGATACAGTTTGGCCGGCTGGTGTCTCTTCTGAAGGCTGAGCTGTCATGCGATAGAGGGGCCCGAATTATATTTCAGTCTGACTGTGAGTGACTTTACTACTCACCACTACTATCTATTATTCCGTCTTCTCACACACACTCACATTAAAACCACATAAGCACTTCTCACTCTTCTGTGTTGGCAATCTTTGTTCGTCGCATAATGAGCATCTTCAGGGCAGGGTATCATTATTACAACAACGAGTCAAAAAAACTCACCGGCTCATCCCTAAAAAGCTGTATATATACTCTATATCTGAACACTTTGATGAGGACTAAAGTGATTTGCTTAAAGTCCTATGTCAACCTCGAAGCATGTGGGTGTGTCTGTCTGTCTGTGTGTATGTGCCTGTATGTGCTCGCACAATTAGGAAACCAGCAATGATGTCTCAAAGTGAGTATAACAGAAATAGTAACATGAGATGTATTCACCCTAAGGTGATGAAGGACTGGTTGAAGAAGAATTTCCCCACAATGATATGAGTTGAGCTGACGTTTCCATTCAATTAAACATCATATAATTGTGGGAAAAATTCTTCACCTACCAGCCCTTCATCACTTTAGACGAAATAGGGTGAAAACATCTCATATTACTGATTTACTGGTAGTCTCGAAACTCTACTCTAATATGAAAAGAAATAGTAACGTCTATTCTTGACCATCAAGGTTTGCTGGGCACCATAATCACTTCTCTGAATGTATGCTTTAGCAATGAAAAGTGACTGTGATTAGAACCAAGACAAGAAAAGAAAAGAAAAAACAGGTTGTGTCGCTTCCTCATTGCATAAGTAGTTGTTACTTATCTTCTTGCCGGTATTCCTTACATT